GAAATTATGACACTGCAGCTAGAAACCATAGCAACAATATAAAAAAAATAAGGTAGGGGAGCATTTGATCTTGTATTGTCTTATTTTTCTCACTAAAGATCAAAGCATCCAGGGCCTCCTTTGAAATATGGAGTAATACCTTGAATCTAATTTCCAGGCCCTAATATTATAGAAGTTGAAAAGCTGGGGGAAAATGGAAAAGAAACTTTTCTGGGAGGTGTTTCTTTTTTCTCAAAATAAGCAGCTCCAGAATACTTAAAGTAGAGCTTTTAGTGATAATTTTAGTGCTGCTTGTCAGTTCATCAAAATGCTTTCTGTTACTAAATAAGTATTTCAAATTATTTCAAAATTACCAGATCAGACAATTAGTGTTTCCAGGCAGCGTAGAGACTGCAGATCATGCTGTATCGACTGAATGAAGGTGAATATGCATGAGGATCTCTTTTTCATTACTCATTTTAATTTTTCCTTAATGAACACGAGCTGCTTCTTGAGTTACACAAGACCTTTAATCCGTGTCAACAACCATGACACCGCCTCTTTTCATGGGGTTTTTCCCCCCTTGTTTTTCAGTAAACTGAAAGTCAGGAAGTCTACTTCATTTTTCAGATCCATAATGTGCTTTAAAGCTCCACCAGCACTGCAGAGTGTAATTATAATCAAGAAATGAAGACGTTATGCTGATTTCAGTGGTTTAATTTATCTGTCTCTCTTTGCAGGAGTCAAATTATATATGATAAGTTTCCCTTTCTTACATGTAACAGATGCCTAAGATGCCTAGATGAAGCAAGTAGTCTTCCCCAAAAATTCAAGGAGTTTTTTTGGTTTTTGGTTAAAAATGGCTAATTTTAGCCTCTTCAGAATTTGTGGAAATGTTATATATCTAGTTCAGACTGGATTGTATTCTCTTGCATCTGATCTAACACCCACATAGGACCCTTCCACTGGCTTATGTACCTTCATTCACATGATTTCACACAAGCTGGAGCATTCTTAAAGATGTGTGGTATAGAGGGAAGATAAAAATCGATCATGTCATGAGCCAGCTTTGACGTAAATATGTAGGGAAGTTGTGAAACTGAGTGTTTTCTAGTGGCTGCTTGCTGGAGTAGTTTGAACACACCTGTATCACCTGGGTTTGGATAAACTGCAGCGGCTGTTGAAGCTGTTACTGACTCTTTCCATGACTGAATTTCGTTTCAAAAATGACATCCCCTAAAAGAGCTGAGGGGGGTCAAGAATCACCCATTGGCATCTCCTCAAGAGAGAGATCTTTATGCTCAGAAAATGAGGCTAGTTTAAGAAGAGTCCTGTAGCCCCAATGGCTGGTGAGAGCTCAAGGAGGCAGAGGATGAGCAGGGTGTCCGTGTGCCATGGGGTCAGGTCTCTGGGGTCTGACATCAGTCCAAAGGCCTTGGGAAAGCCTTGCACTCAAGTCTGCTCATTGAAAATCCCCTCAAAACAAAACCAAAAACAAAAAAGTCAAACCCAAAAGTCTAGGAGGTTCTTGTGCAGACCTTGTAATTATGTGTGTTTGTTCAGGTATGTTTTTGCATTGTTGTGTCAGCAGAGAATTTTCTGACAAAACAGAAAATGCTGAGTCTTCATCTCCAATATGTACAGAAGAATTCTGAATTTAACAAACCTCTACTAAGACATGTAGGAGTCTCACAAATCCTGTCCACGACTGGAAATATACCTGGCTGCCTATAGTTTGGGATACTGTGCTTCAGAACAATCCTGATATCAGTGCTGTGTCGAGGAATACTTATACATTTATTATATTTATTTATATGCTCATTATTTTATATATTACATAAATATGAAATATAATAATTTAATAAAACAAATGCTATGTGACTTTAATTTTACATCTGGGACAGCCCTGTCATTATGTGAGTGTGATAGATCTGATGGGATCTATAAGTCTAGATGCTATTGGAGTTTTAGGATTGTCACTTTGTGAAGAAATTGAGGTTTGTTTGTTTGTGTTTTTTAAGAAACGTGATATTCACTTTGCATTTATTTCTATAATTTCTATTTGGTAGAATTTTTTGGTAGATCTGCCTTTTTGTGGTGAAAGGGATTGAGTCCTTTTAGCAAAGTTCAGTCTAAATCCTCTAAACCACACTTCAGCATCTGGCCTTTTCCTATGTCAAATTGTCAGAGCTCAGATGCTAAGCTGTGACATTTTTGGTGCTGTAGAAATATGAAACATCAGGTTTAGACCTATAAAATAAAGATAAATAAAGGCTTCTGGCTCCCATCTTTCACATCTGGGTGTTTTCAGATGGTTTCTGAAATAGATCTTGAGTAATGCTTAAATGCTATGTTACAGAAATCTTCAGAAATTTGATTGATAAACTCCAAACCACTTCAATACGCTGTAGGTTCTTTTGTTTAATTGTATATGATACAGTGAGTGCTCTGAGGGTTTTAAAAATTAATTGTGAATGTGCATCCAATTACCACTGGATTTATATGAATTTATAGTGCTCATTTATTTAAATTTTGTAAAGCATCTGAAACAGATTAATTAGTGAAAGTGTCAAAGGGCTTGATCAACAGCAAAAGTTTAATTAACTTTGTCAATTAAAAGTAACAAAGTTTTAATTAAGGGGTTATGAAGGGATTAATACTGTTACTTTACACTTGAGTCTGTGATAACCCCTACAAGTGCCATTACTGTACATTTCTCTTAAACATTCTGAATTAATTGAAAACGTGTTAAAACCTTCATGGTGTTTGTTATAGAATTATCAAAATTAATGCCAAATGCTAAAATGTTAAGAATTACTGCCTCTTTAGGCAATAATTGTGCTGCTGATCATAGAGAATCAGCCAGACATCGTGTGGACATGATGATTCCCACTATTGGTTTCATATAGTTATCAGAATAATGGCATACATTATTTTTATGGTGTTTGGTATTTCAGAATAATGGCATACATTATTTTTATGGTGTTTGCCTATTATATGCATGCTTTTAACTTCTCACTAAGCTGTGTTTTCAGGCAGCCAGGAACTGGAGCTCCCTGGCAGCCATCCTCCTGCCACTTTCCATCTCTGTTTGTGACAGGGCAAAGCCAGAACTGTGCAAGTTCACAGGAGCACAGAGAGAGCTGTGAGATTTCATGACCACACGCGTGTTTTCAAGGTACTTTTTTTTTATCCTCAGGTCCCAAACGATTGGTAGCACTGAAACTCGGGGGTTTCTACTTGCCCTACTAGGAAAGGTGGCACAGTCCCACTTCTTCCTCTATGTGGGAGATTTCTATTCTGGAAATGAGAATTAGATTTGCAAGGAAGGAAAATTACTTGCTAAGTTTTTGAGTAAATCATATAATTTCAGCAATCCTGACTGCTGCCAGCAGAAATCCCCAGGTGCAGAAAGGCGCCGAGGCTGCACTGCAGGCAGAAGTCGCGATTTTTTTTCCACTGAAATGTCACTGCAAGATGAGTGGCAGCTGTGGGACTGCCAGAGAAACCCACATCCTCCCTGTAGCTTAACCTCACCCATCAGTACTGGGGAAGAAAGAAGAGAAAGAAATGCAGACATCAGGGGGAAAAAGCAGGTGATAGAAGCTGGGTGTCAAAGAGTAGAAATTTTTCACCCTACCTACATACGCTGTGATAGGATTTTAACCTCGGTTCACAACTGGAGGCGGCATGTTGGAGCTTTCAGGTTATTTAATATCTTTTATTGTCTAAATTAATTGGTTTCTTAGTGTAGTTTGATAAAATAGAGAGGATCTCCTGCACAGAGGATGTGATGGTGTGTAGAAGGCATGAGCAAAGTTCCAAATAGGGAGAGAATCCTGGAGATTTAGGGCAGCTCAAAAGCAAAAGAATCAGAAGGATCAAATTAATAATAAATGAGAGAGATCTATTTTTAAAAAATCTTATTGCTTTCTCTTATATTTAGAATTATTTTCTGTAGTGCAGAGTATTTTTGTCCCATATGGTTTAAAATACTTTTTCTTCAATATCATGGCACATCTCCTTCCTTCACCTAAATATATGCAATAAACCCTCTAATAGCAGTGAATGAGATCAGTGCATCTTGAGACATCTGAAGGTTGCACTAGAATCAGATTGTACCTTGCTAATTTGAAAGATAACCTCGTGACTAAATCCTGTTTTACCCATTTATTTGCCTAAAACTGTTTCCTATGCCTACTTTTCTGCTTATCTGTATTTTACTGAAAAATGATAAAACTTAATGAAATTATTTCTTCATGAGTGCATGGGGACAGTACCACTGATATATTTAGAAAATCAGAGAAAATTAACTGAAAATGTACAAAGGAAGATTTACTCTTTTTTTTTATTTTTCAAAAATGCCTACACAGTTATTGAATGAGACTTTTCAATAAAAAAATTGAATTAAATAAACACAAAGAAAATTGAACTCATTCATATTGAAGACAGCTGTATTATGAAACATTAATTTGCTCTGAATGCCAGGAACATTTGTTACAAAGCAGCTGCCTATTTATTAAATATTATCATAGTGTGTTATCTACCATATTTCTACTTCTTCTGTTTTGAATTGGTATAAAACATGTTTAAAAGAGGATTTGATTTTCCTTTTTTACAAAGTACAAATAAGATGGCAAATGAATGAATAAATGTATTCAAGTCCCCTGAATTTTTTTTGAGGCCATACTCCTGAAGAGAAATCAACAGCAAACCAGAAAAGCAAAACATTCTGCTTAAAAACATGAAATGTCTTTGACAAATGAGGCAAGCACTGGAAAAACTAACAACGGTGAACTTCTTTATTAAACTGGTAGCTCAAATTTCTAGCATATTCCATCCTGTTTCTTGAATATTTCTCTACCATTATTAGAAAGCATCATGTGCATTTTGCACTTAAAAACTATCTGGCAAAGGCAATTCTTGGATGTGGTTTGTGCAATCACTTTAATAATCAATAATTATCTGTACTGAATTGCAGTGGAAGACGTTTATAAATTCATAATCCCTCAGATATTTTCTCACAAAAATGGGAGCCATCTCTTCTCATTTCTGTCCTGATGTTTCTTTACAAGTTCCTTGTACACTTCTGACCTTAGAAACCTGGGGAAGGAGTCCTTTGCCATGAGACTGTAGATTAACCTCTGAGCATCATCAAAGCAGCTGAGCGTGGGCTCAGAGATATTCTGAGAGATGTCAGTTTTGGTATGGAAGTCGATATTAATCTGTAGGAAGAAAGGAGGCATAAAACAAGTGTCAGTTTGATTGGAAAGCTGAGATCTGTTTGTGCACAGGACACAGCCTGCATTTGAATTTCCTCCCAGATAACCTGACTGATGCAAGTGAATAGGAAGCTTATCCCTTCATTTTCTAGCATACTGAATTCTTGATTTTATTTGGCTCTTAAACAGATGGCATGACTGAAAAAAAGAAGGGGAAAACTAACTTCTGATTATCTCATCTTTTTTGCCAAACCAAATCCTACGAAGTACTGATTACCAAAGACTAAATTAGAAGTGATGATACTCAGCATCATTTTAGATTTTGACCCTATGTATTTTGTAAGGATTTTGTGTTTTTAACAATAATAAAATGGGTTTCAATTATGTGTAAGACATGGGGGTATTCAAAGCACACCTGCTAACAAAGGCAAAAACATCAGTGTACAAGTTTAAGGTGGAGAATGTGAATAGAAATAGGAATTTTTTTCTTTCACAGTAAGCATTGGTGAAATAATGTTAAAAGTGAATGCTGTGGTGGAACTCTTTGCAAGTTTGCATTCTCATCATGTCTAAAATACCTGTACAAAAGAACAAATGCCATCATTAACATTTCAATATACTGGTACTTAAAATATGGAAGAAATGGTGTTAATTGCATTATAAAAAATGGTTAGAGAAAATAAATTATACGGAATGTAAATTTCCTTAAATCTTTAGGTAGGAATTTCAGAAGGCAGGATAAACCTGTGCTCTGTGTGAAGAATGTAAAGTATAGACCATAATGTCTTTGCTGCAGTGTTTTTCACCTGGCAAATAATGGACATGAAAATGGAAGTTACAGTCATGTTGAATTGCAATTTCTGTCATTCCCTGAAGTTTGGTTCTGAACTTTTCACTTGTCCCCCATCCCCAGTACCCGAAGTACATGCAAACCCCCCTATTTACCTCCTTTGGAGCATCAGCTCGTATAAAATCAGAATAAATCTTTTGGGCTTTCAAGGCAATCTTGGTGGAGGACTTGGTTTTCTTGAAGTCTTCACAGGCCAGCCAGAACTCCACATTCTCCTCACTGAACTCTGACTTCAAAAATGTCCGAAAAGCTGCCAGGCCATCTGGGGAAAAATGAATGAGATGGTGGGTAGAGGAAAATTGAAAGGCCAATGCAGTTTACACATATGTAAACATGCACACAGGTATGTGTTTGTGTGTTATATGGAGCATACATATAGTGTAACCTGTGTGACTGATGAAATAACAGTGATGATAAGGGGACTAAGAGAATTCCTCCGGTGAGTTACCAATGAAGGAGTGATCCTGACAGCTGTCTGCTGTGGTTTGGTCTCTCTAGCACTGATACACTCAGCCAAAAGGGGATCCTGGAGATTCTGGTCTTCAAGAGAATTTGTAGTCACTAGGAAACTAGAGATTTGAGGCTGACTCTGGTCTAAAAAGCAGAAATTGAAGTCATGTTGTGGTAGTGTGCTCCACCCACAGCTGGGGTTATCTTGCCTAAAAAATGCTTCCGCCTCCTTTCAAGTAATGGATGAGATACAGACACCTCATAACTTCTCTGTTCCACTTTTTTTGCACTTTGAAGGGGAAAAATAAATGAAGCAAATTAAGGTTTCTTTGTTTGGAAGAAGCTGTTCAGAAATCAATCCAAATCACAAGCTCTGAGAAAAGAAAGCTGACCCAAATGTGATTGTGTTAGTCAGGTTAATACTATGCAGAAACAGTGTGGAGGCACTCCAGAGTCCAGGCCACAAATTTACTGCAGGAAAATGAGGCAAGGGCAAGGAAATTTTCAAGTTACTTGTGGTTTGGGGTGTCAGGACAGTAGGAATGGTGTCTCTCGGAGAAGTGACTTTAGATGTATAAGAATTAATCGTTTTTTCTTTGACTAAATTCACTGCACAACATGTATATTTCTTTAGAACAGGAATACGGAAGAAAAGGTTTGTGAGGTTTTTATTTTTAAAAAGATGAAAACCAGAACCATTGTAGTTAGCAGATATCTTAGTGAAAACTCTTTCAGAGAGCTTCTGCCTCATTAAAAGTCCCTTGAGGGCTGGCCAGAAGGTATATTGTGTCTGCAGCTTGGACAAACATGTCCCTCTGCCTTTCAGGACAGCAGCTCACCCACCTCCAGCAGCAGCTTGTTGGTTCACTGCATGAGAGCTGAACTGGAGAGCAGCGTGAAAACCTGAGAGAAATCTTTGGCAATTGGGTTGACACGTGGTTTTTTTGTTTGCTTTTTTTTTTTTTTAAATGTGATTTTCAGTCAGTTCTTACCTTTATTAGCTAGTACTGTATCCACAGACTCAGACCAGGCCATGGTTTCCCCAGCATTTGACCTGTGGAAACAACATCTATCCTTGAAAATAACATTGTGGTCTTTCACCTGTGCAGTCTGTGGTAGCTGAGGGTCTACGATTTGGCTTTCTTCTTGAGGGAGCGGGTGAGTCATTCCTCCCACCCTGCACACAGGGTAACAGAAACTCCACAAAAAGTGTGACATGGGGTTTTTTTGGAGTGGAGAGAACCACCCAGACTCATCAAGTACAGTGTTATTTGACACTGGCAACTTGATTATTCAAGCTGGAAATACTAGTAATGCTTGCAATTGGTGGAACTATAATGAAACATAGGAGAGATATTAATGGTCTAGAGTGTGTATTGCATTTCTTCTCGAGTTCAAATGGATTAACTATTAATTTATATGACACTTTTTGCTTGGAATGACTAAAAACATCTAAAATATTATGCTAACACTAGTAGGATACATGGGCATTATATCAGTTTCTCAATGGTATAAATAATTGAGTAAATGCATAGTTTTAGTTCTTCCTCTGTAACTTGCTATAAGCTTCTGTTAGACATGAGAGCAAACACTTTGTTCTGTGCAAAATATTGCCAGTTTTCTTAGTTAAAAAACAACAACAAACAAACAAACAAAACCAAACAAAAAAACCCACACACAAAAATCTCAAGCTCTCTAGAATTCTGTAAAAAATATTTAATATTCCTAAGCAGGGACTCAGATTGCTTGGCTATCAAAACTCTGCTCTGAAGTATACAGGTTAGTCTGAGAGCTGTATTCCATAGCCATTTCTCAGCATCACCAGTAAAGATGTTTTCTAAATGTAAATTTATGAAGAGATTATATAACAGTGTCACTATATTAACATAGCTGTAGTTATAATTACAGGAGGTTGTGGCAGTGACATCGTTAACAAGCAAGCTTTTTTGTAGCTGTCAATTTACTTGTATCCAGAGTGAAAAAATTATATTTAAACGAGAAAAAACCATGCATGTTTATGAATATATATTAACATATACATGATGGAAAATGGAGTGTAAATACAGTGTATGAAAACACAAATGAAAAATAAACACAGCACAATGTTGTGCTTTGTGAGACATTGAGTCCCAATGGAATTAAGCAGCATAGAATTTGTTTTAGCAACTGTAAGAAACTTTTATCAAATACGTAACAAATTTTCAGGTTATTCAGTAAATGTTTACTAGCTTTCTTGTCAAACAAAAAAGGCAAATGAAAGACCAGGGTAAAACAGACAGTTTTGCTTCTTAACCTTACGAGCAATATTACTTTTTTTAATGTTTGCTCAGTGAGAATGATCTCACTGACCTTGTGAGATTCACTTGAATGGGAATGGCAAGTAGAATTGACAACAAGGAATCAAAATAGTCATATCCGCTTCAAAGGGGGAAGGAAAATAAAAGCTGTACAGATTATTCAAAACTCGGTCATCCCGTAAATCTCCTACAATTAAAATAGCCATAAACAGCAACTCACTTCACTGGCATTTTTTGTTCCACTGTTTGTTTGTCTGACTGTCACAGGTTGGGCAGAGTTTCTTTTCCTGACTGGTCTTCAATCTGAAGGCAATGTGACAGCGGGAACAATACGGTTAGCAGGTGAATAACCAAACAGGACAACGCAAATTGACAAACTGTTTTTAACACTTCCTTTAAACGTGGCTTATTTTTTAACACTATTGACTACTCCCCTGTACTTTGAAGATAGAACTTTGTATATTTATAAGATTATTTTAAACTGTTGTCTTTGTTAACTTTAGAAATGATGACCCAAGGTACCCCTTTCACTCCTACATGTCACTTAAAAAGATTCCTGGCAGCAAAATACAAATCCTTTCTGCAATTCCTTAGTTTTGCATGTACTTGCTTCTGAAGGCTGTAGAAGAAGGAGAGAAATATTAATTATCGTCCTGATTTCCTGCAGTGCTTCTTATTTCCCTTAATTGGTTATTTTCTCTCATTTCCAGAGTATGTCCTGTGGACTGTAACACTGTGCCAAAGACACTGTCCTTGTGAGATTAACTTCAGCATCTTACAGGTGGAGAGAAAACTTTCAGCATTTGCATTTCCATCAAATCCAGTGACTGATTCAGTTCCAGGTCTGAGCTTTGGTAAAAGAGGATAAACATAATACAAAATCCAACCAATATTTGTTTGCAGAGCTTCTGGCATGGCAGACTGCAAATAGCTACAATCTGAGATTGTCTCTTTGCATTATTGTAGAAATAGTACCTTTATCCCCTAATGTTATGTTTTGCCATTGCTGATTGATCTTTCTCGTGTAGCAAAAAGGAGGTTCTTCTGCAAATATTACAGGCTTTTACATGCATTACTGTGTCTTGTTTACTGGAAGGGACCTTGCTTTTAACTGCCCTAGGTTCTCACTGAGAAGTGGTTCAAAATTGGAGTTGAATTTTCAACAAAACTTTCAACAAAGTTCTAGATATAGGCCTGATGGAAGTTTCCTCCAGATTTTTTGATGTAATGCCAGTAAATTCAGTGCAGTTATGAGGACAGAGGTGACACTAAATTAAGCAACACATCATTCTTGGCTGATTGTATTTATTTCTCAGTGTTTACCCTGTGTCTCATCCCAGGGATTATACTATTTGTGCACCTTAACACTGGGATTGTAAACTGACTTATTTTACATTTTTGGAGAGGTAATATTATTCTTGTTATGTAGTAGTCCCATTAACTCCTGTGAGACTATGAGATGCAGGGTTGCAGGATTTGTGCCTATTTTTTTAATCATCTGATGATACATTTATTTCAAAAAACCCAAAATGCCAAGCAATGCAACAGATGCATTTTTTAAATTTCTACCTAATTGCCTGCTGTCTAAATGACAGACATGACAATCTCTTGAAGATTTTCAGTGCTGACAGATATTTTTAAGTCAGCCTTAGCAGCCACAGAATGATGCTAAAACTCAGGAGTGTTCTAAATAGCACACAGAATATGGATGCAGTCTAATTGCTTTTGCATTTTTGGGGCTACTGATCAGAGTTCACCGAACCACAGAGAAGCTATGAGGGACCCTCATCCTTATCCAACATGCTGTCCAGTGACTGCTTAGTGTATGTAAGCAGGTAGTGGTTCAGGTAATAGGGTTATTGTGATATTTGCACAGGGACAGTAATAACAAGTCCACTCACCAAAGTTAGGCATAGTCACCTCTTCCCATAAAAAATAGCTGGTAATATTGCTGTTTACTTCCCTAGCTTGGAACTTGGTAAGTTTCTGGAAAGAAACTCTAATAATTTAGTGCAATGTCATAAGGAGAACAAGTGATCTTAATGTTAAAGCAAATGCATCAGCTGCTTGTGCAACTGTATTGGCTATTCACAGTAAAGGATACCCAGCAAACAAAAAGAAATAGGAGTATGTCATAGAGATGGGCTGGAAATTGCACACGGACTTCTTTCTAAACTTTTTGTCAATCTGGACCCAGCTGACACAGCTGACATCTGCAGCTTCAGTTCACTGACAGCTCAGCCTGGACTTGCAGAGTTGCTCAGGCCTTTACCTGCTCAGCTAATTGCAGGGTATGTTTAAGTTTACCTGTGAGGCTTAATATTTGTGTAACTCTGATGACAGTGCTCTGGAGTCCCCTGCCTTTGACAGGCCACAGGAGAGCTAGAACTGCAGGAAAGAGAATGTAGATCCATTGACTGAACATTTCCTCTTTTGCCAATATTACTTGCTAAGGAACGCTGATTTATTAAATATTTAAATCTCCAGAACTTTTAGGCTAACTGCTTGATTTTTTTTGCTGATGCTCACCTTTTATTTTTAGCTTTGTTTAGTCATTAGTTTCACTGAGTTATCCTCCTTTATGAAAAGCTATTGGCTCCTAGTGGAACAAGGCATGGTTTTGTTTTTTTTTAGTTCCTCTGACCCATGTCTGACCTAGATACTAATCACGATAGAGAGTATAAAACAGTGCTACATGATCAAACTATTGGTGTATTAACCTAAGAAATCATTTCAGTTTATGCCTGTACCTAGAAGGGCTGCCTTGTACTCACCTGAGTGCAGTGTGAGAAAATCTCACACTCTGGCTGTTCTGGTGTGCTGGTGCTTGCCTGGATCAGGTTCAATACATTAATGCCCTTCAGCACGTGGCCTCTGTTAATTCCATTCCATACACAGGTTTGCTTGGATAGTGTTGTCTTGTATAACTTAATACTCAGCAAAAAAAGTGTTAATGTTCTGCTGGTCCAAACAGTTCAAGCGCACAGTGACTGGACTGCATTTCTTATGCTGGGAGAAGCCAAGATGGTCTGAGCACTGCTGGCATCCTGGTAACATGGAAACACCTGTCCTACTGGATGCAAATTTATTTTAATCACTGCACTATGTAAATGCCCACCTTCCCATTGCACTGCACAGCATGGGCAACTCACAAAATAACATTTTTCCATATGAATAACTCTGTGTGTCTGCAGTGTGCCACAGAGTTTCTTTTGCATAGGAAAATGAGCTGTTATTTTCCACCCAAGCAAAGTATGCCCTTCAGGTGAAGTGTTTTGATTTCAAGAGCAATCTGTCAAAATATTTTACAGCACTCTTGGCTCCTCGTATATAGGATTGCCAAGTGCTATACAAATACAAAGCTGTATTGGAAAAAACCTGGAAACAATTCTCAAAGAAGTGTGCAACCCTGAAGATTCCCATGTAGTACTAACTAGCAGATTATTTGGCACAGCTTGTGTCCTGGATGAAGATGCTGTTATTTACACAGTGTGAGACTTCACAAAACTTCATACAAGAAGCCCATCCAGCAGAAACATGAGGGTTGTATTATGACCCTGTGCTTGGAGACAAGTATAAATTGCAGCAATGTGGGAATATATGAAAGGCAGGCATTAGGCCTCAGAAAGCTCTGAAACCATCAGTCTCCACAGCAGTTACCTCTTTAAGTAGTGCCTTGAGGGTGCTCTGTCCCAAGTCAAGCTTTGCTAAGAATGAGTGAAAGGGAAAGCCACACTTCACCAATACTCTTGGTTACCTCTTTTTGTAAGTGACTCCTGGACTCTGACTTCTCCAGTGTGCCCATACCCAAGCAGTCTGGACAGAGTATCTGTGTGATGTAGGGGAGTTTCTACCGAGTCTGCCACAGGTGGGCAGTCCACATGAGGATTTAATCCTTAAAAGCCTTTCCTTTCTTAAGGAAATACTGAAATAGCATTAACTGCAGAAATTTAAAATGAGTCCAGAAAGTTGTGAAGAAACAAGAGTCTCTTAATTATGAGCAAATTTCACGGGGAAGAAACAACAGTTCCAAGTTGTCCTTACGTTAAGCTTCAAATCAATCTTCTGTCCTGTTTGGAAACTTGAAAATTACTGCCATAGAGCTGTGTTTCTTGTTGGTTAATTTTAGTTGCCTTCCATGGAGAAGACAGAGAGGCTAGACTGTAAATCTTGAGTCTAGATACTTTCCTGTAAGGGATAAGGGACAAATAGGAGCAGGTTACGCAAACAGATGCCATTTAGGAAAGGAGAGAGAAAAGCTTCAGTATAAAACCAGAGGGAGCTTTTATGAAACCAGCCCTAAATTATCAGAGTACAGCAAATGAAAGATAACAAGACATAAGCAAGAAAAAAAGTAAAAATGGAAACCGGCTTGGGTGGTGGATAGAGGAAATACATTTTTATCTTCATCACAAAGCCACACAGGAGCTTAAAGGGCATTTGATTGAGGCATTTGACTAAAATGCAAAGAACAGAGTGGGATCTAGGACAAGCAGCTGAGCAAGGCATAAGTTCATGAGCATATGAATCACTGATGGGAGGAAGATGATTTTATGCTATTTTTTTCTCAGTTGAGGTCTTTGGCAGTATGCCTGGAAAGGAGAGGGAACTGCATTCAAAGCAGTAGCTAATTAAGGCAGCCTGAGCAACTGGGGACAAAAAGAAGAGAAAAACTATCTGCCATTTTTGAGTCATTTATAAGTTTTAGCATGTAAAGGCATGTAAGAACCATATTACCAGTTGTCTACTGTACTGGAAGATGGAAATTCATCTTCTTTGAGATTAATTTATCTCATTTATATCAATTTATGAAATCTTAGATTTCATTCCTCTTGGGTTTTGTCAGTTCAAAAAATAATCAAATTATTTTTTGTTCAATAACAAATCCACAAACTGAAGAAGATATGTGTATTTCTATATAAATCAAGAACAGCAGATCATAATTAAGCTAATATAAAGCATCTGATTAGACTGAAGTACTGAAACAGGAGACAAATCTTCGTGCTAATACAAGTCAGCAGATTGTTTCCCTCATACTTTGCATCTTCACATATGTAAGGAGTAAAGTGCACTGCTTATGTGACTAAATCATGGTGTTGGTAAGAGGAAAGTTTTGGGAGCTCTTACTGAAAGCTGAATGGCACATATAAATATAAAGAGCTGCTACATAAAATAATCCCTAATAGAAATGCCTGCCCAATAGGCTTTGTGTATGTATTATTTGCACTAGG